CCCCCCGCCGCCCTGTGGACCCCCCCCCCATCCACAGCAGACCGGGGCTTGGGCTCGCAGGAGCCAACTCTGGCCCGCAGGGCCGGGGCGTACACCATTAAAGAGCTGTTCCCATGGCGACAAACAGATGCGACACGGCAGGTTCCCGCAAGGTGGGGTGACAATCAGACGCCTCCCCCAGAGCCAGGAAGGCCCAGCCCTGGCCCGCCCGTGGGCCTCCGAAGGGTCCCGCCACCAGGGCTCTGCCTCTGGGGCCACGGGCACACTCTCCATCAAGCCGCTGAGGAGGCTGCGGAGGGGCCTCCTGGAAGCCCGTCTCCTACAGGGCCGCACCCAGAGAGGGCCCCCCCGCCGGTCGATGCCTGGGCTGGTGGCAGCTCCTTCCTCTGCGAATGGCTCTGGGTGCCATCAGGGCCCCCGGCCCTCTGCACAGCAACCCGAGGGAGGAAAGGAGGTCCCTGCCCAGAGCCACAAGATGGCCAGAAGCCCACTCCAATTCGGTGTTCGGAGAGCAAGCAGGGGACTGGCCCCGGAGCTGCCGGGCGTGGGAGTGCAGGGCTCCCTCCAAGGGCTTCCCAGGAGGAGGAGTGGGAGGAAGGCATGGGGGGCACTGCCCAGCTCTTCTGGCCATCAAGCTGAGCAAGGGAGGGGGAGCAGCGGGGCCACCGCCGAGGGGAGCAGGAGTCGCAGGGGGGCAGGATGGAAGTCTGGCTCAGAAGGTCCTGAGGCCTCCTTGCTGTTCTGGAGAGCAGCGGAAGGACAGACGTGGGACAAGGGGAAGCGACAGATGTCCCGGCAAGTGGCCGAGATGCAGGCGGGAGGGACAGACGGCTGGACAGTGGCCATATCCGGATCTACCCCAGGGCAGGAGGGAGCGGAAGGGAGGGGCGCCTGCCAGTAACCTCTCGAACTCACAGCCTCTCGAACTCACAACCATGGACCCACGGTAAGTAGGAAATACCAAAAATCAGCACATACCGTGCTACAGACAATTACAAGGTATCTCAAGTAATTTTATATATTTATTTGTTTTTATATATATTTTATATTTTTAATTTTTTTCTTATAAATTATTCACCATTATATTAATTGTCACATAAACATTATCACATACCAGTCCTCCTTAACTGTACAAAAGTTTTAAGGAGGAGGACTCCTTTTAGTCTATTTTGAATGAGTGCTCAGTCTTCCTCCAGCAGAGGTCCAGATATCCTCCTGTTTCAGGGTCTTCCTCAGGGAGTTCAACAGATATTTCCAAACACAAGGTTGCCAAATACCAAGATATTTATCCAAATTTCACCAATGAACACTGCAAAAAATCTCTCTTAGTAAGCTCAAGGCTTCCTCAAAAGTGAAAAGCACATCTGCTATTACCGGAGGCTGAGTTCAGACTGGCAGTTTGGCCCGATATAGGCCCGATGTAGGCACGTTTCATGAACGGATTAAAGGGGCCAGTTCACACAGGCACAGCTGTCCAGTGTTCCCCAGCCATACTCAACCTGTCTTGTAACGCTTCCCTCCTGAGTTTAAAAAATACCAGGTGAAAGTGGTAGCAAACACTGGAGAGCACATTGATCCCACTTCCCGGATGTGTGCACACTAAAAGCCGCAAACAAGCCGCATTTCTGCGCCTATGCGCTTAGGCACATGTCACTGGAGTGAAAAAAAGCCACTTACAGCTGCGCCTCTGCCAGGGGTGGACCAACAGTGCGAACACTCCCTTGCTCCCGCATCAGGCCACCAGGTTCTCTGGGTGAGGTGCCCCTTGGAGAGCCCCCACCTGGGGGGGGGGGTTTGCTGCTGGCAGCCAGGAGCAAGCCGGGCCCGGCGACAGCCACGCGGCAGCAGCTGCTGGGCGAAGACTGGGTAGGCACAGCTTGCCTCGGGGACCCCTGGCTGCGACCCAGTGCCAGTCACAGGGGGGTCTCAGCGAGACCCACCAAGAGTTGTCTCAGGACGGACCATGGACCCTCTGTCCCTCCCTGCCACCCTCCTCGGTCCCTCACTTCCGGCTGCACTCAGCTGGTCACACATTGGCTGGAACGCATCTCTGCCCTCGCGTACTGGGAGGGGCAGACGGCCCGTGAGCTGGGCCACCCTCCCCCACTGCAGGAGCGCCTCCGTCCTCCAGCTCTCCCGGCTGGTACAGTCACCTCCCAAGAAGGTGGGCCTCAGCAGGACATGGAGAAGAAAAGTCCGCTGCAGCCCAGGGACTCACTCACTCACTCACCGTCAGAATGAGCTTCTCGACGCAGTCGGGGGAGACGCTGTGCAGGTGGGTGAGGTGCAGCTGCAGGTGGATCTTGTTGCTGAGCGTGTCCTGGCAGAGAGGGCAGCGGAGCGCGGGCTGGACCGAGTGCTGTGTCATGGCGTGGACCCGCAGCCGATTCACGTCCGGGTTGCTGTACTTGCAGTAGGGGCACTGGTGGGTGGGGGGGGGGGGGGGGAGAAAGGGAAAACCACACATGGAGGGGGGACAGAGAGCAGCCCAGACTCAGAAGAGGCCCGCTGGCATGCCTGGTTGGCTTCCAGGCGCTGGTTTGGACACCATCTGAGACCAGAGCCTCTGATGCCGCAGCACCTCCCCTTCCAGGTTCAAGTCTCCATTGAGGCTCCCCCACTCACCCCGGGAGGTCAGACGGTCGGCTACCAGGACCCGGGGCCTTCTCTCTGGTAGCCCCAGAGTGACAAAACAGGGTAGCGGAGGAATCCGCCCTGCTCCCTTCCCAGACACAAGTGGACACATTTCCTGGGACTCCGTTGGGAGTTTCCCCCCGTTTTCGTTTGTTTGTTTCCAGGGCTGTGTAAGCCGTCTTGCCCACCTGGGACAAGGGTCCATCCGGGCCCCTCCTCCCTCCCTCCCTCCCTCCCTCTCTCCCTCCCTGAGACGAGCCAGGACTGTCTGGCCTTCCCGCGGCTCTGCCCTTGACCCATTTTTACAGCACAGCCGGCTGCATGGTGAGCAGCCCTGGGGAGAGCGCAGGTGGGCTGGGAGCCAGCCTTCCCCACCAAGGCACAGACACCCCCACAGGCCTGACCTGCTCCGGCTTGCTCTCCTCTGACGTCTTCGGCCACTTGGCGCCGCCACCACCACCACCGGGCGATTCCGACCCCCTGGGGCACAGCAGGCTGCGGGAGGGTGCCGCCGGGGTCTCCGCCAGCTCCTTCTCCCCCTGGGCCGCTTGTGCTGCTGGAGAAGGAGAGAGAGAGGCAGTCAGCGCCCTGCCCCGGGACCGCCTGGGCAGCCGCAACCAGGGGCTTGCCCCAGTCCCACGAGAGATCCCCAAAAGCACACTTTTCATCAGCTGCAACCGGCATCTTCTTCAGCACATACCCCAACCCTGTGCTTCTAACTGAGTATCGGGAACATCACATAGCTAACCCTGACACCCTCAGTTGAACCACTGACTGCCTTTAGGCCAATCACACCCTCTCCGTCCACCCTACCGTGCAGGGTTGCTGTGAAGACAACGGTGCCAATGCCTGAGGGGCCAGGAGCCACTGGGAGATGTGTGGGGCAGGCAGGCGGGATCCCTCTGCAGGGCCCGCCCCTGCAAAACCCCCCCATCACCACAGGACGAGCATCCTGTGAACTATCCTGCTGCACAACAGGCACGCAGCCACCTTCGGCAAGGGCGGGCAGACTGCGTGGGATGTCCCCTCCCAGGCCTGCCAGCTCGACCCTGGATCTGACTCCAGAGCAGCACCGGCAGTGTCTCTGGCATGAGTCGCAGGAAGGGGCAGCACCCGTGAAACGCGTCTCAGAGCTCCAGCGTGACAGGCCTTTGCAGTGCCACGGAGGGAGTCCCCATGAACGGGGCCGGGCCCCCCTGAGAGAGTCGTCAAGGACTTTATGGACCGGGACGCTGGAATAAATCCTCAGAGGACCCCCAGAGATGGCCCCGGCCCAGCCGAGTTCTGGGCACTCTTGGAGCCCGCGAGCCAAGCCCTCCTCCACAGCCTCAGACTCCAAAGGGCTGGTTTCTCCAGGAGCAGGGGACAGGGAGGACGGCTATATCAACCTGTCAAGTCCGCAGTGACCGGAGGCAGGGCTTCTTCAGTGGTGGCTCCAGAGGGCTGCGTGGCATTGGGTGATATTTTTAAAATCTGCCTGGGCCTTTTGTCAGGGGGGCCTTTGCACAACCTGCTTTACCTGCTGCTCGATTTATCCCCTTTATATTTTATGTTGTTTTTGCCTGCTTTTGCTTTAAACTTAAATTGATCATCTCCTTTTACTGATTTATACTGCGAGGTGCTTCCACCAGAATGCACAGAGAAGCTGCTGACACATTTCCAAAGTAAATCAGTCGGTGGAATGGCAACTTTGTGGGGAGTCTGTCCCCGTATCAGGGGCCCAGACAGCAGGAGCACAGACTACCCCTCCATTCTCCCCATGCTGTTCCGGGCCAGTCGCCCGGGAGCCGTATGAACGCTTTCCACCTGGAAGCGCATGGGACATTTCCCCTGTGGCCGGGGTGGGGAGGGAGGGGTTGGCTGGGTGCCTTTCACAGCCCCCGCTCCTACCGACCAAGGCCCCTCGGCTCGCCTCCCCGCTTGTCCTGACCCAGCCAGAACCAGCCCGCCCACCCCCCAGAACCAGCCCCTGTCACACACGGCACCACCCAAGGGCACCACTGGAGTGACGGCGAGGAGGCAGGCAAAAGCAACCAGAGAGAGAGTTCCAGGAAGTCGGTGCTCTTCCCAGAATGCCCACCTCGTGACCTCTGAACCCCATGCCCTGGAGCACATAAATCTGCAGGGCATCTATTATTCAAAAACTACAAGGACAAGGATCTTACACACAGCCCCCCCTCCCCCCCCCACATGCATCACAGTCCTTTAATCTGTCTCGAATCGACTTCAAACCCATTCCACCCTTAATGGGAGTTATTCATTTTCACTTGAAAGGTAATAGATGACAGGTAGATATTTAAGATGATGGACTGGCTGCCGATTAACTAGGCGGCTTAACGCTCTGCGCTAGCCATGCCCCCCCGAAGCCCCGCCCCCCTCTGCAAATGCACAGGGAGGACATTTGGCGGCAGCCGGTCCACGGCTCGTCACAGGGCCAGCTCCGGAGCTCCCGAGGGGCGGCCAACAGAGGCCTTGGTGGTCCGGCACCTGAACAGATACAGCTTGCACAGAAATAAAACCGCTCCAGCCCTGAAGGTGCCCCGAGACCCCTGCCTAAGCAGACCCCTTGCAGGGCAGCACGCCCACCTTCCATGATGTTTTATGCCCCTCCCCCCGGCCAACTGACAAACCGGCAAGCAGCAGGAAGAGGGAAGCCACCGCTGGGCAGGGCAGGGCAGGAGGACTGGTCCCTGGTCACGCCACTCCCCGGGGCCGAGGGAGGGAGGGAGGGAGGGGGCACCACGCAGGTGTTCTGGGAGGCCCTTCTGGGCACCAGGGAGGGGGGAGACCCGGCAGGGGGGGGGGAAGCCCTTCTCCTGAGCCCCACGAAGCAGGCCTCCCGCGCGCCGCCTCCTGTGCAAGGCACGTTACAGATACCAAGGCTCACACATTCTCCCAGACTCAGGCCCCGTGGGCTGGTTCACTGCCCCTGGGACACAGCCTCAGCCTAGCGGTGTGGGTGGCCTTCAGAAACACGGGAATCGGCCATGGCATTTTCATTGTTTTTAACTGTCTGTATGTTGTCTGTGATGGAACCCACCCTGAGCCCGCTATGGGGGGAGGGCGGGATACAAATCTAGTAAAGTAAAAATAAATAAACAAAGTGAAGTGGACCAGCCACTTAGACGTGTGTGGCCCACCCTGCCTGGGCTGACTGGCAATGGATTCCAAGGGGTGGTGGCGGTGGTGGGTGGGTGACGACGACTGCTGTTCGGCTACCTGCTGGCACCCCTGCTGCGGGGTTCTGCAGGGATCCACCTTGTCTTCCACGCTGTTCAGCATCTACATGAAATCGCTGGCAGAGATCACCGTGGGGTTTGGAGTGAGGCGCCACCAATATGTGGAGGACGCTCAGCTCCATTTCACCTGAAGGGCTGACCCAGCTGAGCCTGGGAAAGGCCGTGGGATGGACGAGGGCCAATGGACTGAAACCGGTCCAGACAAGACTGAGGGGCTCCTGGCCCACCATGAAGCTGCTCGAGGGCGGAGGAGTCAGCCTGTCTTGGGGAGGGGGCTGCCCTCCCTCTGAAGGAGCCGGCAGAGAGCTTGGGGGAGGGGGGGGGTCTGCTAGAGGCTCCAGTCTCCTCCATGGCATGCTACCCCTTTCCTCAGCTTCAGCTGACACACCAGCCACATGATTTAGCACGGCCTGATCTTGAAGGAATCACACGAGACAGCTCTCTTAAGGGTTGAGAAATCTGTCTGCCTTTCAAGGCAGCAAGAGTTTATTTTATACACACTCTGCCCCCCTCACCCACCGTGAGGTGAGGCTGGGGCTTGCACGTACAGAAACAGGGGAAAACAGATACTTGAAGCGAGGATGTCTTAGGATGCTTACATAGTACAATAATTAATGAGCTACTCTTAGCTTTAACATGCCCGCAGGTACAGGATGTGCAAAGGTCAGGACTCTTAGTGGATCAGAGTCACTGATCAATCCAGATGTTTACAGAGTCTGGAAATATGGGCCTGAACCAGGACAGGTGTGCCTTATCGCTGATCCTTGCCCACATGATCTCACCCTAGGTAGCTCAGTACCCTATGCACAAGTTGTTCCTGCATGGCGGCATGTCCCATGGCGAAGAAGAAGAAGAAGAAGAAGAGGAAGAAGAAGAGGAGGAGAAAGAAGAAGAGGAGGAGGAGGAGATTGGATTTATACCCCGCCCTTCACTTGGAGTCTCAGAGTGGCTTCCAAACTCCTTTCCCTTCCCCTCCCCACAACAGACACCCTGTAAGGTGGGTGGGGCTGAGAGAGCTCTGATAGAAACGGCTCTTTTTCAAGGACAGCTGTGCCAGAGCTTGTGACTGACCCAAGGTCACATCACCAGGTGCAAGTGGAGGAGAGGGGAATCAAACCCGGTTCTCCCAGATTAGAGTCCGCACACTTAACCACTACACCAAACTGGCTCTCTAACCAGAAAACCAGCTACTTCCACTTCATTGAGCCTTTGATTGTGTGGATCACAAAAAACTGTGGCAAGAGGTGCAAGTGGAGGAGAGGGGAATCAAACCCGGTTCTCCCAGATTAGAGTCCGCACACTTAACCACTACACCAAACTGGCTCTCTAACCAGAAAACCAGCTACTTCCACTTCATTGAGCCTTTGATTGTGTGGATCACAAAAAACTGTGGCAAGCCCTTAAAGAGATGGGAGTACCAGACCACCTCACATGTCTCCTGAGAAACCTGCATAAGGGTCAAGAAGCGACAGTTAGAACTGGATATGGAACATCTGATTG